AGAGTCCGAACATTGCAACCATTCCTACGCAGGGACCCGGCACATTCCCGCCTCCTGTCCTGTTCTGGACCTGGCCCAGACACACCCACTATATCCTGACAGCTCCCAGATGGTGGGAAAGGAAAGCTCTCGGGACTCCGCAAAACATCCCAAAGCATTTAAAAACCTGCACAACAGTCCCCCCGCCCCCCGGGGCCCCCAGGAAGCCTCTAAGCCTTTCTAAAATCTTAGTATCTAAGCAGATGGGTAGCTCCTGGCAAGACTTCCAAAGAGGGTGCCTGGGTGGCTCAGTTGGTTAAGCGACTGCCTTCGGCTCAGGTCATGATCCTGGAGCCCAGGGATCGAGTCCCACATCAGGCTCCCTGCTCAGCGGGGGGGGGGTGCTTCTCCCTCTGACCTTCTTCCCTCTCGTGCTGTCTCTCATTCTCTCTCCCTCAAATAAATAAATAAAATCTTAAAAAAAAAAAAAAAAGACTTCCAAAGAGACCAGCACATTCATCCAACAAGCGTGCTTTCATGGAGGCCCTGCCCAGTGCCAGGCAGGCTGTGGGCTGAGATGAGGAGATGCCACTGATGCTCTCCACAGACACATAGACAAAATCACGGCACAAGATTAGGGCTGTAATGGGGAAAGCTGCCAGTGAGATCACGGAGGGCTTCCTGGAGGAGGTAGCAACTGAAAAGTCATCAGATTCTCTCCCTGGATCTAAGCCTTATGTGAAAAACCACCTTCTGGTCATTCTCCCCACCGTCACCACCATTCACTGATACTCTAGGCTTCAACCTCACAACACCCCTCACACTTTTCAGAAAGGACTGGGTTCCCCCTAGCCTCCATGGCTCTGCACTTGCTGACTGCCCTTCCCCTTACAGGGAAAACTCTTATTCAGTCTTCAAAACCTAGCTGAGTCGTTATGTCCTCCAGGAAGCTTTCCTTGACAAACCCCCGCCCCAAGAGTCTTTGGTTCTGTTTCCAGTTTCTCGCACAGCTCCTTGCCACAATGACGCTTCTTGTCATCTGTTTACACATCTGTCCCCTCTCCGGTTTGTGAGCTCTTTAGATTCAGCGACTTTATCTTCTTTGTCATTGCATTCTTGGTGCCAGGCCTTGTGCTGGGTAGAACAGTATGCGACATGCTTCCATGGGGTTCGGGAGGTTAGCTGTAGGATGCACAGCATTTATACGGTGCTTACTTCCCAACTAGCTCCTTCGACATTTGCCACAACCCAGGGTGGCAGGCAGGGCAGGAGTGATACGGAAACAACAGGCCGTCTATGGAAAACCTGCCATGAGCTGAGCACCATGCCAGGCACTGGCAGGGGACATTCATCTGGGCTTCAGTCAGCTGTGATTCCCAATGCCTGGCACACAGAAATGTTGGGTGAAATTTGACGTGTGTCTGGGAGCTAAGGAAGCTTGACCAGTTTTCTAGGATTTACTATCGTCATGTCCTGACCCCAGGTTGCTCCCGGTACAGCCCTCTGGCATGCCTTGGCAGATGGAAGAATCTGTCTTCGTGGGCAACGGTCTATTTCTGTAGGCTCTGCCGTCTGAGTCAATCCTCCCCCTTGTCCAAAAAATGCCGAGGATGCAGTCTGTTGTGTTAACGTCCCACTTGAGACATTTCTTTTAGTATCTAGAACCAGAAATTCGTCTTTCACCAAGAGTCAATCTCTCTCCCTTCTATCACATAAGAAGAATAAAATGACCTCTTAGTGTGTTCTCTTTCCCTCTGGCTGCCGGGAAGCTCGGAGACAAATAATAGTATCACAGGGAGGAGTCAGAGTCAGAACATTTCCTTCTCGCCCCCATGTACGTGGCTTCTTTAATTGAAACTTTCCTGTGTTCTTTATGGGAAGAGCAGGCATAAATACGCTTTATGTGAGAAGCCGTGGGAACTGGGAAAGGGTCCAGGTTTAAGCAGAAGGCTGGCGAGAACCCCTTACTCTCTCTGAGCCCCAGGCTCCTCCTCGGCAGCCCCGGGATGAGGAGCTCTGCTGCCTTCCTCCTGCGGAGGCAGCTCTCCCATGAGGAGGACTGGCCACGGCCCAAGCGTCAGGGAGGGTCACGGTCAACTCCCTCCCTGCTGAGGTTATGCGTTTATAACCTTGAACACTTTCACACTTCCAATCCAGTGTGGCCAGAAGTTTTATTTTTAAAGAGGAGCCAGAAAAAGAGATTTCTCATGTGAAAGCTCCTGACTTAGAAATGTTGCCAATTAATTTGCATTTTTTCCCCCAAAACGCTGTGTTGGACAAACCAAACTTGGCTGCAGGCCAGATTTAGCCTGAGGCCCCTGCAGGCTCAGCCAGTCCAGCCGTCCGGGTGGCCTGGGTGGGTTACTTCTCTCCATACTCGTTTCCTCCTCTGTAATATAACGTCCTCAGTCCCGCTATTTTCCTCCCAGCACCGGTTCCCTCCTTTATGCAACTGCCCCTGCCCACACCCTCCTCCTCGGACCATGTGATCAGTAGGCTGTCTCCGCCCCTGGCTCCAGCGGTGGGTACCAGAGCTGCCTGGCAATGGGGCACCCCATGCCCTGAGCCCAGGTGGCCCCAGGGGGGGGGGCAATGGGAGTCCACCCCCGGAGCTTTTGCTGGAACAAGATGCCTGCTCCCCTCTGAAATCAAGGTGCTAAGGGCTGTGGGAGCCTAGGACTGCCAGGGGAACTTGACTACCACGTGGAGAAAGTCTGCCTGGGAATGCAGCCCACACAAAGGAAACCAGGACTGAGGGAGACAGACAGACAGACAGAGAGATGGCAGGTCCTGGTGACATCCTTGAGCACCAGGGTCCAGCCAAGCCTGAGTCTCGACCCGAACCCCTTTATTTCAGCTGATTTCACTTTGGCGTCTTGGGCCAGGGCCAGGCTAGGGTGAGGCCAGAGAGGCCTCGAGGGCACAGAATTGAAGGAGGCACTTGGGTGTGAGCCCGAGGTGCCTCTCTGGCCTCACCCTGGCCTGGCCCTGCAACCCAGGGTATGTAAGACCTGGGTTTGCCCCATGGAGGAAGAGCAGCCCCAGCCCTCCAGGTGAGAGGAAGCAGCTGTCGCCTGCCCTCATTCCTTAAATGGGTCATGTGCCCAAGCGAGCCCTGCTCTGGGGTCAGGAGATCTGGTCCAAATCTCAGCCCACTGCCCCACAGCCTCAGCTAACCCCTAGGACAATGGAATGGTACTTACTTGTGTCCCTGTGTTCTCCCCCTCTCAAGGAGGCAGACTTCTTAAATGGTCACACGGCCACCCAGCTGAAGAATATACTTCCCAGGAGCGCTTGGGTGGCTCAGTCGGTTAAGTATCTGCCTTCGGCTCAGGTCATGATCTCGGGATCCTGGAATCGGGCTCCCTGCTCAGCAGGGAGTCTGCTTCTCCCCCTGCCTCTGCCCCTCCCTCATGCTTGTTCTCTGTCTCTCTTTCTCTCTCTGTCTCAAATAAATAAATAAAATCTTAAAAAAAAATAAAAATAAAAGAATATATTCCCCTCCCCCCATTGCAGCTAGACCTAACCATATGACGAAGTACTGACCAGTAGGATGTAAGGGGGCAAGGGGTACAGCCATCACAGAGTGTTCCTCAAGGGAGGGGATACACTTCCTTCCACCTTGCTGCTCTGGTGCAGATGAGCCCTCTGGATTTCGCCCCCCGGGGCCACATCCCAGGCACAGGGAAGCAGCATCTCAGGCCCCTGGACATGCGGGGACCCGGCCATCAGACCAGCTCCATGAACTGTACTGTGAGCGGGAAAGAACATTCTATTTGGTGTAAGGCCCTGTTGTTTTGCATCTCTGTGCCTGAATTCATATCCTAACAGGTACCCCACCCCATGTATTCCAGCTAACGGTTTCGGTTGTCCCAATTAGGGGGAGGGGGTGAGAGCTACTGGTTTCTAGTGGATGGAAACCAGAGATGCTCATTATCGCACAGCATATAGGACAGCCTCCCACAGCAGAGAACGATCTGGGCCACAAGGTCAACAGTGCTGCCACCGAGAAACTGCTTTACCTTCCCTGGAGACAGGTGTCCCCGTCCCTAAAAAGGGGAATATTGCACTCTCATAGTTTATGAAGATCCAGTGAGATGACAGACATGAGCCTCCCTTCAGAAAAGGAGAGAGTCCTGCAAAAATGGTCATGAAGTCTTTATTATTGCAAGAAACTAAGAGGGGAGCTCCAGAGGAGGAGAGTGAGACAGGCTGCCAATCACACAGGAGGAGGGCTCCCTGGTGGGGCTAGGGGGGTGGGAAGGGGGTGCTGGGGGTGTGCAGTACCTGAAGGTGCAGTACAGGGCAGGGAGGGACTGGAGGGCAGGGGCCTTGGGGAAGGGGAGAGATAGAAAAGTCTGGCAGAGGGAGGGAGGGAGGAAGTGCTCCTGGTGGTCCCCGGGGCTACTCACAAGCTCGCCCTATCCCCACCACCTCCCACTCTGCCTCTCACACATACAGACCTGCATCTCCCCCTCCCCACATGCTTCTCCTCTTCCCCCAGACACTCTCTCTCTCACACACACACATACACACACCCTCCTTCCTCTGTGGTCTTACCCCTCTGCCACCCCATCACACACTCTCATCAATGCCAAGCCTGAGTCCAGAGGGGTGGGGCGGGGCTGGACCTAGCAGAGACCAAAGGCCCTCCAAATAGGGCCTTTTCCTTGGGTCTGCTTTGAAGTCGGCCATGTGAAGCTGCAGGGTGGGTGCCTTGGGTGGCGGGGGCCGCTGAGCGTCACCAGGGATTCAGTGCGGAAGTGGGACTCTCTAGGTTCAGGACAGGCAGGGGCGGTGGTGCCTGACTCTAGGTGAGGGGCAAGAGTGCTGGGTAGCACAAAGGCACTGGGGGTCAGTGGGGGATTAAGCCCAGAGCTGGGGAGGGCAGGTGTGGGGTGAACTGGCTTGATGTGGAAAGCAAGCCCTGGGCCAGCAGCAGTGACACCTTAAGGTACCCAGGTGCCCCATCTCAACAGGTGCAGCCAGGGTCCACCCTGAGCTCCCGGAAGCCTCTGCTGGGAGGGTCCAGGCAACAGAGGGATGGCCTGGAGGACCAGGGGTTGTCCTGTCTCTGCCCCAGGGTCTCCAAGCTGGGCGAAGCAGGGGAGGGCGCCCGGTGGCCGCCACCGGCCACCGGCGCGGGTCCGCTCAGACCTCTGGCCCTCCGAAGGCCAAGTTGTCGCGGACCATCAGAGTCTTGCGGAGGTCACGGTCCACCAGGGGACGCTGCATGCGCCACTTGTGCGCCTCCTGCAGGCCAGGCTCCAAGTAGTAGATGCAGGCGCCGAAGCCCACCAGGATGAGCACCGAGATGACCAGGTAGACGGGCACGAACCAGTCCAGGAAGTGCGGCATGGCGGCGGCCTCAGCTGCCGAGACAGGGCGGTGAGTGCCGGCGGAGGCGCCCCTTGTCCCACCTGCCAGCCTGGAGGGACACGCGTGGGCTTCACAGAGCCACGAGGTCCGAGCATCACCTTACAGATGGGAAGGCTGAGGCCCGGGAGAGTGGCGTCCGCCCCCTGCCCCGGAGCGAGAACAGAGCTGCCCCCATCACAGGGACCCACCTAGCTCCTACTCACCCTTCAAGAAGGCAGCTTGTAGCTGAGGGCGGGACCTGGCTCAATCCCTCTGAGGCACAGGTGCCTCAGGCAAGTTGCCTAAACTCTCTGCTCTCAGCATCGTCGTCCCCTGTGAGGAAGGGGACGCGGACAGAGCCTAGTGGGGATTCAGAGCACTCAGTAAAGCTTAGCTGGGGCCATGCGTCCTCTGAGCCACCCCTCCCGGCCCTGACTGCGCAGTTGCAGATGCTGCCACTTGCCAGACCCTCACAGATGAGTGGGTCCCCAGCCACCCGCACATCCTGGCTGGGTGTGGCTTGGTGAAAGCGAGCTGAACAAACACCCATCCCCAGGGGATTGGGTTGGTGTCAACAGGGTCTGCACAGGCACCCGAAATTCACACCCAATTTCATAATTATAACACTGTGAACACAAGCACCAGCCCAGAAAACTTGGGCCTCGGGCTTCCACATCTATAAAGTGGGCATGAAGATAGCACCTGGACCGCGGGGCTGTTGTGACCGTTAAATGGGTTAATTTATGGAAAATACTCAGAATTAGTGCCTGGACCATAATCCATGCTACATAGTTCTTTGTTCTTATTCTCTGAGCCTCAGTTTCCTTATCTGTAAAATGGGGATAGAAGTAGGATCCATTTCTTAAGGTCACTGTGAATGTTTGACAAGATAAAGCCTAAAGAGCATTTAGCACCACGCTGCATGGCCCAGAACCAGCCCTTGTCTTACCTGTTGTTATTTCCAGCCAACCAGAGGCAGGAAAGCAGGAAAATGGAAGGTAACAGGTATAAGGGGCTTCACGAATGTTACATACACCCAGACCCCTTAGAATGGCCCAAAGTTACCCACAGCTGCACTCTGCCAACCTCTCCAGCCTCATCTCCCAGCCCATGTGCCGTCATATGGAACTGCTCATCAGTCACCTGTGTGTCCCTGGGTGTCCTACAATCTCCATCTTTCATAGGATGGAGATATCCTTTTCATTTTCATTTTCCCTGGGATGTCCTTTGTACTGTGTTCATGGGGCAGGCTCCTACTCATCCTTCAAAAGCCAGATCACAGACCATCTCTTCCAGGAATGCGATAAAGTAGGACCCATTTAACCCACCCTCAAACCCTTCCTGAGGAGTAAAAAAAGGGGAAGGGTGAGGAGCCCCACCTCTGCTTGCCAGGCAGGGAGAGCCCTATTAAGATGTGTTCACAAATCACGAGGCCTATGGGGTAGGTGTTACTGTCTACATTTTACTGAGGCCCAGATGGGTTCACTAACTTGCCCTGGGTTACCCATTTGGAAGGTGACTAAGAGCTGGGCCCCAAGCCCCCAGAGATGTCCTGAGGTTTGAGTCCTCCAGGGTGGGTAAAGACACCTGAGCAGAATGAAATGAGCAGAGGCCCACCTTGGCTTCTGGGGAAGGAAGAAAGGGGATGAATGGAACGACTCCAGGGCAAGCTAAAGAGAAGCCTTAGCTTCTCAGACCTCTGTCTCCAAACTCCAGCCCCTCTTGTCCTGCTACTTCCAGGTGGGTCTTCAAGGTGGGCTGTGACCCCCGGGGGGAGAGAGATGCTGCTTTACAGTCCCACATCCATCCCAATGCTTGCCCCTGCCCCCCCAGGGTCCCCACTGGCCGCTCTGAAGCATGGACAGTGTCTCAAGGTGCCCTACTCATGGAGAAATAAAATGAAGAATGCTCAGCCATGCTCTCCTAACCATCTGCCTTTCTGGAGAGCCGAAGAAGAGAGTTCAAAATTGCTTTGGTGCAGCTGGGTTGAGGGGAAGTCAGGAAGAGGGGACCCCAAGCAGGAAGCCTGCTCCAAGTGAACCTGACTGAGGCTAAAAGATTTGTGCCGCACCCCTGGCCGCAGGCAGGACCCCAGTCCCCTTGCAGCTTAAACATGAGAGTGAGGGACTTGAGCAGAGCTGAAGCCACTCGGGCTGCAATGGTGTGGATCTATGGAGGACAGTTTAGAGTCCCCCAACCTCTCAGCCCTGTGAGCAAAACCCCAGGCATTCCCGGGCAGACTGAGGACCCCTAGACCTTCTCCTGGATTCTCAGGGGACGCCTAGCTGAAACAAATCACTCGCTGGCCTTCTGCGTGACCTCGGCCGCACCTCACCCCCTCTGGGTTTCAGGATTCCCCATGCACTGTGACAAGGTGGGAGAGGGGGTTACCAGATGATCTATAAGGAATTTTCCAGCCCCATTCTAGCCAAAGGACAGTGTGAGGGTTGTAGGGCCCCGCTGCCTGCCTCCCAAACCACTGGCAGTCCTCGGTGCCCCCTCCCCACCGCATGCCCACAGACCCACCTCATGCCCTGCAGATGCCTGTTCCGGGGGCTCTGTGCTGAGCGCACCACCTCAGCCTGAGCAGCTCAGCGTTGGCCTGCAGACTCAGTCGCAGCTGCTGTCCCCAAAGACACTGCCATCTGCAGCCGCCATGGGAGCTGGAGGCAGAGAAAGGGCGAGGCCAATGTCCCCCGTGGGAGACTGAGCCTCTCAGGCCCCGGGGCTCTGACTGACCAGGAGGGGGCAGTCCTGTGCTGGCAAGGCACACTGGTACCTCTCGCTGCCCATCCGAGACCCTTCCCTCTGCCCCCCACCCTCAGGATGGCGGGAGGCGGGACGTGTCTCAGCCAATCAGCAGACTGGCAGAGCAAGGGCTTTATCCTCCGTTGCCCTGGCAACCAGCCTTCTCTTCTGGATCCCTCGCACTGTGCACGTGGTACAGAAATGACAGTCAGGGCAGGGTTGGGAGAATTTGGGGAGGGACGGGAACCACCCAGCAGACTGCTGGGCCCCATGTTTGCTGAGCCTGGAGAGGAGGAGACCCCAGCTGAGATCAGCGGAAGGGTTTGGAGGCTTGCCATTTGCAGGAAGGGAGAGATGAGGGTCCCCAGCAAGCGGGTGAGGACACAGATGTAGTGACTAGTAGAGCCAGGGAAAGTCATATGCTGTAGAGGAAAGAACCAAGACTGAGACTGAGACTCCGGACGCATTGGTCCAATGTAGACACTGCTTTCAGTGCTTTATTCATAGTAATTCATTTATCTGTCATCCAAGGTCACACAGCAAGAAAGTGACAATGCCAGAGTCAGAGTCCTAGCCTGGCCTTCAGGCCCCCACACAGGGGCTGCCTCTCCAGCTTCTGCCTCACCAGCCCCATGGTTCCCCTGGCTGGGATATAGCCTCAGATGGTTGTGACTCACAGGCACTGAGCATTCCCACATCCCAGGCATGGCCCCACACACCATTCTGTCCGTCCTCCAGCTGATTGATGTTGAGAGCCCATCTGGGGATGAAGCAGCTACAGCTCAGAGAGGTGATGCTGCTTACCTTCTCTTTCCTCTAGGTCACCCAGCTCCTCAGTGACAAAGCCAGGGAGTGGGGGTGGGGTAAGGGGCCCACCTCCCAAGCCTGGGTCTTCCCTCCTGTGCTATAGACAGAGTGTCAGCAAAGTGCCAGGCACCCAGTGTGCATTCTGTAAACATCAGTGGTGATTGTCTCAGAAGAGAGAGCAGCCCCAGAGGCCTATGGGGCAGGAAAGAGGCTTCGAGGAAACACCTCCCCAGGGAGTCCATTCCCAGAAACCTGAGGACGGGCAGGTGGGAAATGCTGTGGGGAGAGATGCCTTAAGGACAATGGGTCCCCCACCCCACAGATACCCTGCCAGCTCTGGGACCATCTGGACCCCTGCAAGGGTGGTGAGTCCTCTCCAGCATATATAGGGCAAGGGGAGTGAGTTTGCATTCACAGGGGGATTTGTAATGAGACCGAGTACATATTTAGTAAAATACAAATCTTAAGTGATGAATGTTTACCTGTGTGTACAGCTGTGATCAATGTCTAAGAGATTTGCATCTCCCCAGACTGTTCCCTCCTGCCTGTTGCCAGTCAATACCCCCTTCCCAAAGGTACCCACTGATTTCTATCACCATAAATTAGGTTTTCCTGTATTTGCATTTAATGTAAATGGACTCATACAATATGTACTTCTGTGTCTGGCTTCTGTCACTCAACACAATGCTTTTGCTACTTAACCGATGTTGCTACATTGATCAGTGTACCACAGCTGGTTTATCTGTTGACCACTGAAGGACATTTGGGGTGTTTCCAGTATGGGACTATTGTGAGCAAAGCTTCAACAGTCTGGAGTGGGAGGACAGAGAGGGGCTGGGGGAGGGGCACGGAGAAACTTTCGGGGATATTGGACATGTGCATTACATTGATTATGGTGGTGGCTTCCTAGGTGGACACGTTGACCAAAACTTATCAAATCATAGAATTTAACTATGTGTAGCTTATCCTATGTCAATTATACTTTGATACAGCTGTAAAAAAATATGATCAATGGCCTTTAGATATCGTTTTAGCCACGTGATTCTTTATTCACACACATTTGGGAAGCTCAATATATAATAGAGGTAAAGCCTGAGCTGCTTCTGTTAAATAATGGGGTGGGGTTTCTGGACCCTACCCATGCAGCTTCCCCTTGTCCCTTACAGTATATCCCTGAGGCATCTCCCCAGAGCTCCACAGGAGCCAATTTGAAAAACACTATCCCAGAGGGTGTCTGATGGCCCCGCCTGGGTGTTCTTGATATAAGAATCTCTGGGCCTGGGTCTGACCTTCCTGCCCATCCCCACTCTTCATCGCAGTATGGATCCCACACACAGCTCTTTTCTATTGCACTGCCCAGGTGACAAGCACCAACTCACGTTCACTCCTAGGCCAACAGTCACCTCCCCAGCCAAGAGTAGCGGTGGCTCCCCAGGGACCCTTCA